TACTCGTCATTCTCATTTCAACTTTCTTTATTAATTGGCAACTATTGGGAAACGAGTGCACCGAATCTAGCCTTACTACCAACAACATTCCTGGTTCCAACTGGGAAAAAAATATAACTGGAACATTAAGACATTTCTTACGTCCAGAAATTTGATAATACAACTCTGTTGCTCTTTTGTGATGATGTTGATGTTTTGAGACGTTGAGGGGTAATTTAAAAGATATTATGCGCCGTAATACTGGCCCAGACAGGCTGGGCCTATTCCCCCCCTCTCCCCTCCCCCCTCCCCCCTCCCCCGGGGTCCTGAATAAAATTGAAGAGTGAAAGTGAATACTGGCACAGAAGTTCCTCGTAATCGATTTATTTGTTCATTAGAAGACTTGAAACGGTTCCAATAAATACACCATTTTGGTAACTTACCCGGTTGACTTGCATTGGTAATGAAGTTTGGGGGCGTATAGCATCGATCGCAGCTTGAGGAACCATTTGAAAGCACGAGACACGAAGAGATGAAAAAATCCAGAGTGAAATCAGACAGCTCAAGTTCACACTGCTTCAGGAATTCCGCGCAGACTTGTTTACATGGATACACAGGTTCTCCGAGAGAGTTGCACTTAGGAGCGACAAAGGAACACTCTATGGTTTCTGCGAGACCGTTCGTTGAACAATTCCTCACCTGTTTAAAGAACTCTTTCATTTCCAGAGCTGTTTCTTGTTGCAGTGTTTCCGTGAAATCTTCGGGAAAGGGTACAGTTTTGTCATAACCCGCTTTCATGCACATTTCAAAAGGGCTTTTCTCGAGGCTGACACATGGATCGCCTGCTGAGGGAGACAAGGCGGTCACAAGTCCACATAACAGAACAAAAATCGAAAGAGTTATGGTGCACCGACACATGGTGAATTACTGCCAAGCGTCTAAGGCCTATTTTATTAGTATTTGACTTTTAACCATGATCCCGGGGGGTAATGACCCGTCAATGGACCGGGTATATTATTAGTATATGAACACGGAAAAATTCAGCTGCTTATTTTAGAAGCTCTTGGTTATTTTTAACCGAAGAAGATCTGATATTTTACAGCTATTAAAATGTCTCGATATTATCGTAATTTTTTTCATATTAGCTCAGTTTTTTTCCTTTTTAGTGACACCTAAAAGAATGAATTATTTTAAAACTCTACTTTGGTTTTTCTTTTCTTCTTACCTATAAACGAAGCTAGTTAAAAGGTTTTTTTAATCAGAAAACTCCCCACTGACAATAGTTTTCTCCAGTTTGTGATTATATTGCCCAGAGCGAATCAATATAACATGAGATTGGCCTTTGCTGTAAGAATATAATTTGCTGGAAACAATCCTAAATACACCAAATAAAAAAGATAGGATTAGGATTAAGCTGAACTACATATTCAATGTCCCTATGGCCAGTTCTACTAAACAATTCATTTACTAATGACGGCTATAGCAAGAGTTCCGCGTAATTGGAGTTCTAACGATATTTTACAAGAGAGGGTAATCTAAGAGAACGATTCTCCTTGACATGACCATCTTCCAATGAAAATTTTTTGAAATCTATTTAGGTGCTTGATCGATCTCGTTCTCACAGCCCGCGTTACCCTTGCCCAGCGGAACGGGAATTCGTTTTCCGTTCCGCTAGACATGGGTAACGCGGGCCCTGGGTACGATATTGATGCTTGATTGGCTTGATGCTGTCACGCATCCTGCAGGACACGAAAAAGCTAAATGTTACCACGAGCTACAAGGTCACGAAAACGTGAGAAATAGAGGAAGTACAACGTGCTACAAAACTAATAGTAGATCTCAGAAAAGTACCATAAGGCACTGGGAACCAGATCACCAGATACTTAAGTGGACCACTGACTAATCGAGCCCAATGTAGGGAGGGGTCGATGTATATATGTCCAACTAAAAAGGGGGGGTGTTATCTTCACTTCTATCAAACATTTAGTGTCCCCCACAGAAGGATTTTCGCGTTTCGTCTTGACAATCTTTACGCATGGAGTGTTGGGTCTTCAAAGTTCGGCTGCTGCTTCCAAAGGCGCCATGTCGTCTTCTTGTTTTTTATAACCAAACCTTGGGACACGATTCCATCGCCACTTCATCCAGATGGCGGCCAGCACTATGAGCCCGACAATGATAAGAGCCACCACCACTGACACCACAATGGCCCACACTTTAACACCTTTAGTGGCTTTGGACGGGACTTTACCAGTGGGCCCTACATTGTCTGAAATGAAATAGGTAGAGTTGGTGACTCCGGCTGAATTGTAATATTGCTATTTCCGTATCATGGCATGAGTTTCAAGTCAGATATTTAACAGTCTGTGACCAGTTTCGAGGGAACAGTCAATTCTTTTTCCCGAGAATCTCTCTCTGAAATTTGGAGAAACAATACTTTCCAGTTTCCTAAGAGATCGGTCATTAGGCGACTCGTCTTACTGGGCAACAAAGATATTAGTAATTCACGTGCAAAGGCAGTCCGACATTCGCGTGTAACAATGCCCAGTTATTTTGCAGTAAAAACTAGCTAAAACTTATGGCGGGAAACAGTTTTTCATTTTTAGATGTCATACGACCTTAAAGTAGCTGATGAGAGCGCAAGCTTTTATTAAAAGAATCGTGCCCCTGAAGGATATAACAATAAGAAAAGTAGATGAACCAGACGTCGTCTGCCCGAACGCCGGAAAATGGGAGGAAAATTCTAGTTACTGAACACAACATTAGCAGATGTGGCTGATCCAGAGGTTCTCAAACGAAAGCTACAAGAATAATTCCAACTGATAGGCATAACAATAAGAAGTGGGGCTGAACCAGAGGTGCTCGAAACAAGAGAAAAGCGAGGTGAAGATGGGAGGGGGTCGGCATAAAAATATACCCTTTCTTTCTCAAATATGGGAAAAGAAAAACATTTGTCCCTCAGGAAAGAGGCGAACTTCCATAGATCCATAGATCCATTAGATCCATTAGTGATCATCCAGCGTGTGTAAAGCCTTTGCTTAGTGGAGGCGTACTGGCCTCATGGTTAGTGCGCTCGTCTCCGGATCGAGCGGTCTGGGTTTGAGCCCTGGTCGGAGACATTGTGTTGTGTTCTTGGGCAAGACACTTTACTCTCACAGTGCCTCTCTCCACCCAGGTGTATAAAAGGTTACCGGCGAATTTAATGCTGGGGTAGCATCCCATCCAGGGGGGAGTAGAAATACTCCTAGTCGCTTCATGCCAAGGAAACCGGGATAAGCTTCGGCCTGGTGGGCCACTTGGCTCATATGCAGACACACTTACTTCCTGACATGCTTGCTTACTTACTAATTTGACTCAAAATGTATTAAGTATTAAAGATCTTTAAAGTGACTTTCTTCCTGGATGCATTACGACAACTTTGCTCAAACCTGAATCTCGCGGTATATAACGAGCCCAACTGAAGGGTGGAGGCCACTCAGTGCGCTTGCAATATCCATGACTAGTGTTTCCCTTTCCAAGTAACGCACAGTATTCAGCTTCTATAAAATCATTCCTACAAATATCAACCAGAAAATTGTTATGATTTATCTTGGGGTTTGTGTATAAGCATTAGAGAGTTATTGGATATAAGCCGCAGATCAAAGAATAACAAGACTAGACGAGTCAAACTTGAAACATTGAGGTTGGAGATTAGGCTTTTTTGACACGCAGAAGTTGTTTCCTTTGAAACTAAATAGATACTTACAAACTACGTCAATTTATCATCGGGTTACGGGAGGTCGTCTTGTGTAAGACACCTAGCGACGATTTGCACCACATAGTAGAACTTTTAAGTTTAAGTCCTAAATAAAGTGGAGGAAACGTGCGATAACATGATCGTTTCTGGAAGGCTTTATCACAGGTTACTAGGCAGACAGCTGAGTATTAGGTGTGCAGAGAATAGCGTTTGGATTTAGTTAGCAGAGAATACGAACAATACCTCAAATTGTGGCTAGTCAGATGTTAGCACAATTTGTTTAGGCAAAGGGTTTACTGGGTAAGGAGGTATTGCTAGACAAAAGAATCAATGTGCTCTGGCAGCTGGCTGTGATGGTCTTACCAGCTAGCAGGCGTGATACTCGCCGGCGAATCCATCATCACACAGTTAATAAGTGTGCCTGTTTCTGTATCAAAGATGGAAAATACGTCTCACACATGGTGGCTTCCCGTAGGCCGATATCAACTTAACGTAACCCAAACATGCGGACAGTACTGTGATGCAAAAGAACACCTCCATTGCGGGCGGTAAGAATTCTGTTTGCCTAATATTCCCGCCCATTCTTGGGGGATTAGTAAATTACCTGAAAAACTCCGGACAGTCCCTTACAATGTCATCGCAAACCGACCTACAAATGGAGTAAAGTCCTTGACCCTCGCCGGGAAAACACGGTGGAAAATTCTCCCCACAGAACATCTTCTTGAGCTGCTCTTGGCACTTAGGGTACTTCTTTAACAGTTTTAGAAAATCTGGAGGGAAGTCTGTCTCTGCATTCCCCTCACTGTAATGCTTATTGTAGGCGTGAAGATACCAATGTTTCTGGTTATCAACTGATATAAGGGTTTGTTGTGATACTGGAAGGTTCTTACACGCAGGAATAATCAGTTTTTGACAGTCTCGGTCCAACGGACCTATGGAAAAAGAAAGAAAACACAAGAAATAAAAAACACAAAAAATAGAGCCAGTTCCGGCAGAGCTCACTGACCGGCCGCGACCATCAACTCGGTCAGGGATGCAATAATGGAGAAGTCTTTGGGTCTAAAACTTTACTGACATTTAGCAAGCAAGTCCTAAAGGGTCCGAGCAATGTCAACCGAGCTAAGTGTGACGGCATTGGCCGTGCGAAGTGCTTGTCCACACGCGTAGCAGTCATTTGCATTTATGTTCTTCCAAAGAAAAAAAAGCTGTGGGTAAGTGTTATCTGATTACGTACAGGTTGTTGGATTTGGTGTGGCAAGTAGACTATGAGTAGTCCCTCTTTCGCTTAGCCCTTGTGCGTGACGCGGAAGAAAACAAGCGAGAAAAAAATGGCCGCGTGAAATCCTAGGCGCGCACTTCTCGTCCCTAGGATTTCATGCGGCCATGTTTTCCTGTCGGTTTATTTACGGTCTTGCTCGACGAACTAGGCGAGAGAGGGACTACTCGTAATCTAGTTAAACACAGACTAAGCGATTTGAAATTACTTTTCTTGATGCCCTTTGCGTTGGATTATTTCACGCAGTTTTTCAGGCAAAGGTTAGAGGATGTCGGATTTGTATAGAGGAACTTTAAGGTTTTCTCTGTCTGCGGTTTCAGCCATTCTCGAGCTGTCGTCCAGTTGTTCAGTATTAGTTTCCATTGGGATTTTCGTTTCGTCCTTTTTAAGCATCTGGTGCGGATTCGGAATTCGGGGCCTTTCCCATTTTTTTGGTGCCTTTTTCGATTTTGAGCGATTATTATAGCTTATTTTTTAAGAAAAAAAATTGAAATGGTAACGTTTACGCACAAATAAAGCCCGAATAACTGTGAGTCTGTGTAAACAGAACTTTATTGAATCAAAGACTGCACTTTTGAAGTTTTGAATGATACTGAACCTGCCTTAACAAGACCGCCAATAACAAACTTAACTGTTTTAGTTGGTGTGTAGCCTGTAATACAGCCGTTTTGCTTGGTGTCTTTGTTAGCGTATCCGGTGGCCATCATGTGCTGTAGCAAAACGTAGAGTTTGGACACGCGTCACTCGTCATTCTACCTCACTCCTACTCCCTGGAACAGTTTTTTTTTCTCAAACATGTCAAAACCCTGCCCTCCCCCCCCCCCTGAACCCCTTCCCGCTGGCTCTGCTCTATAAATATACGTCGCGGTAAATTATTCTGCTTGCGCACGTACTGATGACTTTCTGTCATGTAACCGATAGAGCGAATAACTGAAATAAACAAACTTTGCAATAGGAGACGTAAAGGTCGAGGGCAAGGACAGAAAAAAAGCTGGCATGATTCAGCTTACGCACTCAAGCTCATCACATTCCGTGAGTTAACCTACAACGAAATTCTTACTGTGATTTATTGTGATAAAACGCCAGATAGTTTTTGCAAGGAAGACAAGCAACTGGCTTTGCTTTTATATCTAAAGTATTTGAAGAGTCAGTTTTGATTTGAGAAAATTTGAAAGTTGAGGATCTCAACCTTCTGAACATTTGCCAACAAAATGTAACTGTTTATGCTGAAGAACAACAGTTCCCGGCCGGGGGGGGGGTACTCCCTTATATGGCCAGTATATGTATGTGTTCTAAAGGGTATGGTGTTTTAACCGTTTTTGTCAGAAATCATGAGGTTATCGATTTTGGCCATTCTGGTCTGAAATAGGTTATAGTTTTTCCATTGTAATCTTCAATTGGTTATTTTTTTTAGAAAAAGCTACTTTTTCATCTTTGTCGATAAGACCATCAACAAAATCCCTTCACAATGCCTTTAAATAACTAATTAACATCGCTCTGAACTGGGGAACCAATTATGAGGCAGGTCTTAAATTGGGTATCGAATTTTTGGTCAGGTCATAAATAGGGTAGGGAAAATAAGAGATTTGGCTAATAGGGAAAAGGTTTTGGTAAGCGGGCCGCACACCCCTACGTAATTTTTCTGGGAGTAC